GAGTTGGAGGTTGCTGTGAGCTGTGATGCTACGGCACTCTACCCAGGGTGACAGCTTGAGGCTCTGTCTCAAAAAAAAAAAAGACAATAGGGAGTAGAAATAATCATAGACCATGCCTAGCCTTTAGAGCAGTGGTTCTCAACCTTCCTAGTGCCGCAACCCTTTAATACACAGTTCCTTATGTTGTGGTGACCCCCACACATGAGGAGCAGTGTCTCAGTTCCTAAAGCCATCTGAAATATGTGTTTTCCGATGATCTTAGGCAACCCCGTAAAAGGGGAAAGGGTCGTTCAAGCCCCAAAGGAGTCGCGACCCACAGGTTGAGAACTGCTCCTTTAGAGAATGACTTTGTCTCAAGCCTACATGGAGCATTACAAAAACTGGCCACATATTAAGCTATAAGGCACATATCAACACTTTTCAAATGATCTATATTACAGATTTTTTTTTTTTTGAGACAGAGCCTCAACCTATCATAGAGTGCCAGGGTGTTATAGCTCACAGGAACCTCCAACTCCTGGCTTAAGTGATTCTCTTGCTTCAGCCTTGCAAGTAGCTGGGACTATAGGCACCCACAACGCCCAGCTATTTTTTGGTTGGAATTGTCCTTGTTGTTTGGCAGGCCCGGGCTGGATTCGAACCCACCAGCTCTGGTGTATGTGGCTGGTGCCTTAGCCGCTTGAACTACAGGCACTGAGCCATGTATTATAGATACCATAGCAAATAACCTAGAAGTCCCTCTTCAGTAAACTGGATAAAGTAACTAATCAATTGAAATACTATTCAATAAAAATGAATAAACCTAGGCTCGGTGCCTGTGGCTCAAGTGGCTAAGGCATCAGCCACATACACCTGAGTTGGCAGGTTCAAATCTAGCCCAGGCCCACCAAACAACAATAACAGCTGCAACCAAAAAATAGCCGGGCATTGTGGCGAGCACCTGTAGTCCCAGCTACTTGGGAGGCTGAGGCAAGAGAATCATTTAAGCCCAGGAGTTGGACGTTGCTGTGAGCTGTAATGCCACGTACTCTGATGAGGGCAGCAGCTTGAGGCTCTGTTTCAAAAAAAAAAAAAGAAAAGAATAAACCACAGTTCACTTACTATTGTGGATTAATCTTTCAAAAATAATGATGAATGAAAGAATTAAGACACAAAAGATGGCCAGGCTCGGTGGCTCACACCTGTAATCCTAGCACTCTGCAAGGCCAAGGGGGGTGGATAGCTTGAGCTCACAAGTTCAAGACCAGCCTAAGCAATAGAGAGCCCCCATTTCTAAAAAAAAAAAAAAAAAAATAGAAGAACTAGACTGGGCATGGTGGTTCACCTGGGCTGGTGGTAATCCAAGACTTTGGGAGGCGGAGGTGAGTGGATTGTCTGAGCTCACAAGTTTGAGACCAGCCTGAGCCAGAGTGAGACCCTAGCCAGGCATCGTGGTGCGCACCTGTAGCCCCAGCTACTTGGGAAGCTGAGGCAAGAGGATCACTTGAGCCCAACAGTTCAAGGTTGCTATGAGCTGTGACTGTCATGGTACTTTACTAAAGGTGATTAAGTGAGACTCCGTCTCAAAAAATGAATAAATAAATAAATAAAAATAAAGAAAATTAAAAAATATAGAAAAACTAGCCAGTCATGGTAGCAAATGATGGTAGTGCCAGCTACTCAGGAGGCTGAGGCAGGAGGGTTGCTTGATCCCAAGAGTTTGAAGTTTCTGTGAGCTATGATGCCATACCACTCGACTCAAGGTGACAGAGTGAGACTCTGTCTCAAAAAACCCAAAAAGACACAAAAGATTTATATGCAAGTAATCTTTGAGTTACAAACATCCAACTTATGTACAATTCACAGTTACCAATGGAGACTATTAAAATAAGTCCCTGGGTTATGGTATATGATTCATATTTACGAACTGAGGCTATTGTAGGTAATAAGTAAATGTACCTGTTCCAACTTACATACAAATTCTACTTAAGAACAAACTTACAGGGTGGCATCTGTAGCTCAGTGGGTAAGGCACTGGCCACATACACTGAGGCTGGCAGATTTGAACCCAGCCTGGGCCAGCTAAAACAACAATGACAATTGCAACAAAAAAATAGCCAGGCATTGTGGCAGGTGCCTGTAATCCCAGCTACTTGGGAGGCTGACACAAGAGAATCATTTAAGCCCAAGAATTTCAGGTTGCTGTGAGCTGTGTCCTGTGTCGCCACGGCACTCTACCCAGGGTGACAGCTTGAGACTCTGTGTTAAAAACAAACAAAAAACTTACAGAGCCAGGCACATTGGCTCACACATGTAATCCTAACACTGTGAGTGTAGGCAAGTGGATTGCTTGAGCTCAGTTCAAGACCAGCCTGAGCAAGAGTGAAGCCACCCTCTCTACTAAAATAACTGGGTGTCGTAACAGGTACCTATAGTCCCAGCTACTCAGGAACCTAAGGCAGGAAAATAGCTAGAGCCTGAGAGTTTGAGGTTGCTGTGATCTAAGATGCCACAGCACTCTATCCAGGGCACAGAATGAGACTCTGTTTCAAGAATAATAGGACAGGCTGGCTACCTGTGCTCAGTGGTTAGGGCACTGACCACATGCTTCTGGGCTGGTGGGTTCAAACCCAGCCAGGGCCTGCTAAACAAAACAAAAAATAGCCGGGTGTTGTGGCAGGTGCCTGTAGTCCCAGCTACTTGGGAGGCTGAGGCAAGAGAATCACTTGAGCCCAAGAGTTTGAGGTTGCTATAAGCTATGACACTACAGCACTCTATCAAGGATGACAAAGTGAGACTCTGTCTCAATTAAAAAAAAACA